CAGGACTTTTAAGGGCCTTGAAAATACAATTTTTAAATTCAAGAGTTTTCAAGGATTTCAAGGACTTGTACGAACCCTTTGTAGAGCATATGAACAATATTGGTTGTTTGTAAAGGATGCTATATTATCGGTCACACTTACATGCTTTTTTGATGCAGAGCATTTCTTAGTCGCACAATTTGACGTGTCGTGCGTCGGCGTTGTCCACACCCCCACTGCGCATGCTTGCGTCTCGTGCCAACTGTTCGCTCTCCCCCTCTCTCGCCGCCCAAGGTTGACACAGGCAGCATCTGCTAGTAAAAACCGACTGCTTGAGCTACACAACTGTTCATTGGCCGCCCCGTATATGTAGGCACTGGATCGCACATCAGTGTCCCACCACTTGTTGAAGTCGACGCTTTTCCTTAATTCAAAAAATAAGAATAATAAAGATGAAATAAAAATTAAGCATTCCAAAACCATCTCTTGCCTCGCAAGGCCGATGCAGCAATGTCTGATAGTAAAAACCGACTGCTTGTGCTGCACAATTGTTCACTGGCCACCCTGTATATGTAGGTATTGCATCGCACATCACGGTCCCACTACTCGTTGAAGGCAACGCTTCTCCTTCATTCAATAAATAGGAATAATGAAGATGAAATAACAATTAAGCATTGCCAAACCACACCCAATACTCCCACCACTCTGCAACGCATTTACTCGAGCTCCGCTCATGGGAAGATGCAGGTGGCATTTTTTTAGTCGACACATGTAAAGTTTTACAAATAATCAGTGTCAATGCAACTTTTTATTTAAATATGAAGTAGTGCACTAAAAAAGAAGCCTACACCTTCATTCTGCCCCATGGATAGAAAGAAATGGTGCTGTGCAGTTCTGCAGGAGATCACAGGATTGATTTACCCCCCAAACACAGCAGTCACATTATAATGGATGCAATATGTATTAGTGCACTAGTGCCGTGCACTCAGAGAGATTATGAGGTCAAAATAATTAGGATTCACTTACAACAGTGCATCATAACCGATTATAGTTTTGCAACATGAAACCGTAAAGCCTAATTTTAATTCGTCTCTAAACCAGCATGGGTGCACAGTGCATACAAAACCCTGCTTCGAGTTTTTTTTTTTTTTTTTCATGTGGATGTCTGGTTCATTACAGACTTTATAGCATTATTTAACAGTGCGGTTTTTCAGGGCCTTCCCAATCGCCGTGTTTTTTTTTTTTTTTGGAATTCGTTCAAACGAAAAGACAAGTTCACTAGTGAAGAATTACAGCCTAGTAGTTTTAAACTGCATGGGAAGATGCTTCAAACAGTTGGTTATGCATTCAAGGTGGCCCATATTCACATCTCTAGCAAATCGAAACAAATTGCCTTCATCTTCATTATGCAGGGGAGACCCTTCACAAACCAGCTAATCCCCTGCATCTTCTCTAGACCAATATTGTAAAGCTTTAGTAAAGATCATCTTCATTATGCAAACTAAATATATGTAACTGTGCAGCAGTCATGCAGCTATACTGTCAGATAAATAAACTTACAGGACAAATAGAAATGTTTAATAAATTAAAGTTACTGACAGGAAAATCTGAGGTTAACATTTCTTTAAAAAGTTTAATTAGTAGACTGCTTTTTTTGCATTGTGATGTACTGACGCAAGCAGCAGCCAAAGAAGTAGAGGCCACAGAAGGTTAGATAACTGAACTTTTTTATCACCGACAGGGCATATCGCAGTCACAGTTTTTTTTCCCCTCTACGCTACTTGGACTAACTGTGTGAGTAGTGGAAACAAGGGGATATTCATAACGGTGTCACACAGGCACTTGCGATCGCAGTCAGAGCATCTGCGCCAAACTCGATCTGGATCAGGCTGTACAGCGTAGCAGCGACAAACTTATTGCGCGTGATCAAAAGTTCGTGAGGGAAACTGGTATTACTTACCGCTACACAGTTCAAACTAATCCGTATCAAATACAGTGCAGCTGTCAGTACAATCTAGATCAGACCACAATCGACCCTGATCGCACCACAAGTGGTAAGTACCTGTGTGACAGCGATCAGTAAAGAGCATCAGTGTGCACCATCTCATTGAGAACTACGCCGGCACAAAACAGCCAGCACTCCCGCATCACTGCATTTGCAAGTAATAATATTGCTATTATACAAACTGCCACACAACACGAAAATAGAGGAAGTGCTGATTACACCACACATAAAACAGCCAGCGCAATGCACGCACTGCTAATAACTACAGCGACTAGGAATATAACGCCATTTGGTGCCTAGGTCGCGCGCAGTCGTCAGAACAGTACTTAGTGCGCCGGCACTCGTATTAGTTCGTGCCACGACTCGCCGTCGCACTGTAGTCACTGGCTGGAACCATAGAGTTAATCAATGCTTCCTATAAAAATACACTCAATAAATTTGGCTTACTTTCAGCGGTTGTGTCAAGCACTTCAGGCGCAATCGAACCTTTTTGCCTTCGTCGCTTTCAAGAAGTCGGCAGTAAAGCCAGCAGTTTCCCCCGAGCTTTCCTGGTTCCCCTATAATCACGCAACAGGACGTTTCTCTTGTATTCTACATGATATGTGGCAGAGATCGCTTTTTTCGGAAAATGCTTTGCACACACATGGTCGGTAGGCTGCAAGGCTCTGTCAGCTCTCGGAATTGCCCGTCGCCACTTATCCAAGCATTTTCGTTCACGTGGAGCCATGAAAAGCGACACACGCTTTGTACAAGTCCGATACCCCGACTTGCCATTCAGGACAAAACACCACTTGCCCATTTCGAGGTGCAGCCAGCGACAAGTCCTATGACGCATACTCGAAGTTATATGCAGCGTCGAGGTATACGTGCACCGAACCGCAAAGCGTGAATCAGCAAAACAAATGCACTGGTAGGGCTGACAGGCACAGAGCAAGGCGTTTCTAAATCACAAAATTCCTTGCACACAAAGCTTTCAGAAAGATGTCCTTTTGCGCGCTAATTTCAGAACGAGTGCCGCGCAAATAGCTGGCGCCCTAGAGTTACTGTATATGCTACCTCTGAGACAGCTCATAGTCCGCTATAAAATTTTGTATGCTTTTCATAGGTCCCTGGTGTGGTACAGCAATAGTGGCTTAAAGAGTTATGCATTTATTTATTCATTTATTAGATTTATCAACATGAGAGGTATAGCGTCCTAAAACCACCATATGATTATGAGAGACGCCGTAGAGGAGGGCTCTAGAAATTTCAACCACCTGGGGTTCTATAATGTGCACCCAAATCTGAGCCCACAAGCCTACAGCATTTTCGCCTCCATCAAAAATGCAGCCGCCGCAGCCGAGATTTGATCCCGCGACCTGCGGGTCAGCAGCCGAGTACTTTAGTCACTAGACCACCACGGCGGGGCTATTTATTTATTATCAGAAATACCTATATTGTTCGAAGGCATTGTTTTATGGAGGTCTAACGTGAGAAAACAAATATGCATGAACATTAGCAACCTACATCAACTGCACAGGCGGCACTGTCGTAATAGAGAGAAATTGCAACAAACTGCCTTAAAATTCTATAAAATCTAAAAATCACTGTTTTCTTATAGCGGTGGACTCACAGTTGGGGTCTGTGTTTCTGGATTGAATTGGAAGATGATGCCTAATTTGCAGCTGCTCTCGCTAAAATTAGTGCCACTGAGGACATCTTGAGGTTCGCAGTGTGGCGCAAAAATATTTGTGACAAACTAATGTAGATCTGACACTGTCTGTCCCAAACACAGTAAAAGCTAAGTAATTTGGATTTCACGGGACTGAATGTGACTCAATTAACAAGAGTTTGATGCTACTGAATAATGCATATGTTCACCTGGCCCAGGAAACATGTCTGAATCAACAAGATTTGCTGTATTTTCTCATTGTTTCTGTGGCGAAAATTTGGCAGAACCCATGCACTGTGGGAACTGGCCTCAGGAAAAAGTCAACCAGTCCAGGCTGCTTTCAGCAAATGTTACACGTGTTCTTCTGAGGGTGATAGTAGTGTGCACATCGCGTGTTTACCAGGCATGCAGACTATACCCAAGGCTAACTTATGGTCTAACGCAACACCAGCACTTGCGCTGGAGCTTAAACATAACTATTATTGAAACGAAGTGCAAACTACAGGGCGGTGATGTGAACATCATATGTAACTTTAGTTAGTGTTTTTCTTTGGGGTCAAGCTTGGAAAATTATAGGAATAGAAATGTAATGTTTATTAGGCTGCTCTAAGATGGGAGCCAACACTGAAAGCAAAATTGATGTTAAGGGGAGATGAAGTAGATTAAAGTTGCTTTCAAAGAGCACAAGGTGGCTACTAAAAACTTAAAAGAGCTTATTGCCTAGAGTCCCCTGGAATTGGTCATCTGGCTCCTTGCCATTGCATTTCGCATGAGGAGTTCACTGAAGCTACATACTCAAAATAACAATGATTGCCAAGCTCTCATGATGAGCAATGCGTATTTCTCAAGGTCCATTTTTGGGCAACTTCTTCAGTTGAAAGAACTTGTTGTTGGGCTAGTTGATAGAGCATTTCGAAAAGTTAATTCGAGCGCGAAAACTTGACACGATCACTCACACACGCACACACCCATGCATCAAACACACAGGCGCTGTGTGTGTTTGATGCATGGGTGTGTGCGTGTGTGAGTGATCGTGTCAAGTTTTCGCGCTCGAATTAACTTTTCGAAATTCTTCAGTTGACTTCATGTTTGTGGTACGTCTGATAGCCAGATGAGGATCAAATTTTGCCCACATATTTTTTAACATGAGAAGGGTGCAAGTATCTCCTTTAAAACTTGATATCGCTTGTATAATTATTAAGGGCCTAAAGCAGGCAATTAGTATAGACTGAGCATTTTAAGGATTTTCACAAAACAATATTTCTTGTCCCTTAAAATGTCTTATACGTATTTCCTTGATAGTTATTTGCATTCTGTAGTTAATGTGGAGCAATATGAGTTATTAATGACTCAGAATCATAGAACTTTAGTGCCACAGAGTGTTTATTAAAGACAAACTAAACTTTACATTGTCATCACACGAAGCGAGAACGGTGCAACTTACTATAAAACTAATTACTTTCTAAAATCATCACAAAAGCCTATATATACAGCAAAAAATAATTTATTGCCCAAGCAACAGATTGACAAAACCTTTTTTTCGAATCGCATATCCCCTTAACCCTACCTGACGTCTGGAGCATGTAGCGGTTATCGTCTTATGAAATTAAATAGCTGGTACAGTAACCACAATTGATGTTGCACCGCCATTACACCTGCATAAGGTCTTTTTCCAAAGCACTTTTAAGAAATGGTGCTGCATGTGTGGTGGAATACCCGACTGCCGGACAGAATGCTTGGGTTCGATTCCTGCAGTAATCCTTTGCATTTGTTGGGTCACTGTTGCCTATGTCAGTTTTTCTCAACCTCCTTGCAGTTCAATTACCAATGAAAGTTCTCACTGTTCCTGGGTAGACATAAGGTCAACTACCTGTGGTGCATGCTCGCAAACCCCAGCCAACGGTATTAGTGTATGTGCCCTATGTGCCAACATATGCCACAGGATTTTCACATTATTCATGTCATGACCAGGCAGTCCTATCTGTCAAGTTCTCTTACCGAGACGTAGGCTGCTAGATGGATGTGCAGATGCATGTAGATAGACAGATACTTTTGGTCGGCTAAGAAATGTTGCATATTTAACAAAGTACAATAGACTCTTCTGACGGGACCAGGAAAATGTGTTCCAAGCTTTAGGCTCTGATGTCCAGCAGGGCTTCTTCAATGAGCTCCTTCTGTTGAAGCAGATCATCATAGCGCTTCTGCAGTGCCTTTTCTCTCTCCACTTGACGGTTGACATCTTCAGTCAAAGCCTACAACAAGGGCAATAAACAAGAAGTACAATTTTGACAATTCCGAAAATTGTTCTTTTATCGTGCTCTTGGTGCCCTGCAACACTTTTTCAAAAACTTTGTCAGAAAACACTGCCTATCGGTAATCCAGGCTTCTAAAAATATGTGAGCTGAACACAGCATGCAGCAACTGATTATTTAAGTCATCTAAAAATTTCTCCCTTTTCTATCGACAAATAAACCCGAATGACTGTGTCATGAACTGACTTGAGCATTGCATACCATGGCCACCACAGGATACCAGCACATGTCACATGTATGTGATCAAACTGAAAGTATATCATGTGTTTAAATAAGAAAAAAAAGGAGCATTCGAGGTCATGGTGTGTGCTCACATATCACAGCTTTCCCTGGTACAAAAAGAAACGTACTTGACTCTGTCGGAAAATATTTGTGGAGGTCGATTTATGAGACAATAAACTTCTTTGAAGAAGCCATTTGTTGACAAAATTGAAAAGTGTTGCAGGGTCCCAACACTCCAAACTATGCAAGTTGTTTTTATTGTCCATTTGTTTAAAGTGGACTTGATCCGATAATTGTCACACATGTGAATATGACGAGAGCAAACACTTGATATTTTAATTTGTTTGTAAATTTGGTTTTGAGGGAATCTGAGGCTGTTGTGCAGGCATTTCTGCCTTACCGCCGCTTCCTCATGTGCTTTTCAACGGCACGTGGCAATGCACATGGAAGCGAGAGCTGGCAAGAATGAGTCACATATGTCCTGGCAATGCTCTTTCTTAGAGCAGCGCTTGGTGAGTATGTGTTTTCGTTCCTGTCCCCTTTGGGAATCGTGAGACTGTAGCATGCCTCAGTGGGCATGTTTACCTTTGCTCTGTGTGATAAGCCGGTGCCTCCTGCTCAGGCGTGGTCATACGACGCTGAGCAACACTTGCCAAAGGCCTACGAGCTCTCGCTACCAGGCCCAGTGGTGGGAGTGTGCAGCATAGCCACAAGAGACTTTTCCCCGAGTGTGTGTCAAAGCTCGCCTTTGCCAGCTGCAATGTGCTCACGGTTTCCCCTTTTGCTGTACATCCATGTGCGGTTGTAGTAGCGTGTTTAGGGTGCCACCAAAGGCAATAAAGTGTTTGTGTGTGTTGTTAGATTGAATACTGTCTGTATTGCCGCGCGCCACACAACGCTTTGATAGCCGAGCGTGCACGGAGCGGTGCTCTACACATGAGCAGGCAACAGTACACGCGATTCAAGGGATCAGTTTACCATGAGTTTAGTGCAGTTTTCAGAATGATTACTGAACCTCTGAGTAGAAGTGTGGTGGTTTATAATTGGTTCGGAATTAACAATAGTGTATGGTCATTACGTACTTAGTACGAAGAATAGAAATATGTATCACAGAGACACCAATTTGTGTGCCAGAATTTTATCTTATGACCACTGGCACCTGCATTGAAACAAGAAATCCGCTCTGGCCTGATGCGCATCGTCATACCTCAAGACGCTGCACTCCTCAGCAAGGAGTAGAGGGAAACAGCACCAGGCAAAGAAGGAAAGCACCGACTTAAAGCAAACGTTTATTTGTCACGGAAAAAAAAAAGAAAAGTTGAAGCATGAGGTTGAAGCATGAGTGAGCAGGCCTTCAGCTGCCTTGTCAGAAAACGAGCTAGATTTTCTATCAGAATGAGTTTGTGCACGATGAATATGTTTTCAATGTTTTTTTGGTGATGATGCTGATATTTCATTTACAGTGATGAAAGTGACTTTTTACATTTTTGGAGCAAACTTTGGAGCAAGAAAACTTTTGGAGCAGCCATAACTGTTTTCGGAGCGGAAAAAAAAAAGGTGGAGGAGTTTGTGGTGTTTTAGGAGCAGATACAAAACTTGCCATACACCGATTGGAGGTCAAAGCATAATTGAAGCATCTCATAAATATAATTATTCATAGTGAAATAATTTCATAGACAGCAATGAATGTAAATTTCGAGAAGCAAACAAAAAGACGGCTAGTTGTCAAAAAAGATATGTGAAATGATGATATGTGAAGTTTAAGGGGAGATGCGGGTCGAAAAACGCGAGTTTTTTTCAAAATTACCGATTTTTAATTTTCGCCTGTTTTGATAAGATTAGTACCTCAACTGTTATGAAATAAATAATGCAGGTCGAGACTTAACTGGAAATGCTTTAAAATTGCATCTAAAGAGCACAAGGTGCTTGCTAAAAGGTCAAAGCATGCAGCCTTCGAGCACCTTGCCGCCGATAAATGCGCCGCCGCTCGCCATTGTTGATTGCATGAGTCGAAGAGTCGAGCCTCACTCTTCAAGTACCAACAGTTTCTCTCGCTGATGCAGCGCAAAAAATAATAAAAAGAAGCACTCTTCTGCGCGTTTTTCGAGCGCCGAGACTGGCTTATCACGTGGTACAAATCGGTGACCGCCATTGGCCGCTGCGCGCCTGTATGTGCTGTGAAACCTATTTGCGGGGTCCGTGTCTTGTCGAGCAGTGCAGCTGAACAATGCTTTTCTCATGTAATTATCTCAGTTGTGAATGAAAAAAGCCATTGCTCGCAAGTGAAAGCCGTTGTGACAGCTCCCTCTGTAGGAATAGGCTACGAGCAACTGGTCGATTTGCGGAGTTGTTGGCTTGCAAAAACCAATGCACCAAACGTCATTCACACCCGTCAGCCGCAAAGTTCGTGATGCGGCAATGAATGACGTCAGCGCCAATTATGAGAGGTCAAAGCTCGCAGTGAGAGAACTTAGCAGGGACGACATTGCCATTATGTATGACGGTATGTGGCACAAACATGGCTGCAAAATGGCATGACACTGGACTTAGTTTGGATTTTGCAGTCCTGTCGAACTTCTTCCTAGCTTGCAGTTGGCACAAGGCTCTGCGAGATGGAGCGGAAGTTTGGCAAGCGTTTCGTAGCCCTGTCTATGAGCGAAATGTCTGTGAGGAGTCGGCTCGTAAAAGCCGAGAGGGAAAAACTCATGATGCTGGTGTATTTTAGTCGCAGTGGCCACTACAAGAAGGGTTGTTCTTTTTGGTGTGCAAATTTCATCTGATTTAATGATATCTTTCATAAATAAAAAAACTCAATTTTAACTTTAAAAGTCGTTTTTCTCAAAACACAAATTTTGCTATTTATTCCAATGTGCCCCTCCTTTTTCAAGCACTTCTAGTGCTCAGACCTGCATGAAATTTTGTCCAAACTTTTTCCAAAGTAAAAAAAAATGCAATTATCTAGTTTAAGTTTCAATATTTTATTGTAAATTAAAAAAGTGTATGTATACCATTACAGGGGTAGGTGAAATATGGACTTTTTACGTCTATTATTTTTCACGCGTATTCCATATATTGCATGTGCTGCCTAATTAGTTATTTGCACTCTACACCTTATTTGAGGCATTATGAAATATATATAGTAAAAAGTTACAGAAGTTTAGGGATGAAAAGGGGAAGCAAAAGGGTTAAGGTTTTCACTTTGCCATGTTACAGAGCTAAAAGTGTGTAACTTGCAAGAAAACTAATAATATATTTGAAATCGGCATAAAATGTTCCATTAACAGCTCAAGTTTCATTGCTCTAGGGTGAATATTAAAAAAAGTGTCTTCGAGTAGCATCTCCCCTTAACATCTCAAAGCCACCATATGATTATGAGAGACGCCGCAATGAGGGCTTCGAAAATTTCGAACACCTGGAATTCTTGAACGTGCATCCAAATCTGAGCGCACAGGCTTACAGCATTTTAGCCTTTATAAAAAATGCAGCAGCCGCAGCCGGGATTCGATCCTGCGACTAGCGGGTCAGCAGCCGAGTACCTTAACCACTAGACCACCGGGGCGAGGCTGGATTTGAAATGAACTATATTTTTAAATACTAGTATTTATGAAAGAAATCAAATCTAGGCGGTACTGCTGCACCACATTCTAGAAGTAACCACAGTCCCATATAACTGCTGCCAAACAAGCAGTATACATGATCAATATGTAAAGGCCATCCTGCTCATTTTCACACTTCACTACGCTAGCCTGCATGTCTAGCTGAAAAAAAAAAAAAGCTGTCAAATATGCCAGTTCTTGTTGCATAAATGAGATCAGGACCGATAATGCTTGTGGGAGTGCTGACACCCCCTGTAAAGTTGTTTGCGCCTCTTTGCTCACCTGTTTAGCGCAGAAGCCGTGTTTCGGGGTCACAACTATTGAGCGGTAGGTGGCGTTGTGTTCGCGAGCAGAGATCACCGCTATCATCATCATGGTGGTTAGAGCGGCAGCGCTGGCAGTGAACCCTGGTGGCAGCAGAGAGACTTCAGCGAGTCTCTTTGGCTGGTGGCGGTTGGCGCAAACGGTTGTCTCTAGCGTGGGTCTGCCGTAGACGACACCGCGGGTTGTCTGCGGTGGGCCCTCGTGGTAAGTGAAATGTTGGCGACGCCGCCTGGGGTGTGTTATTGAGTTTGTTATGTTGTTGAGTGTTGTGCAATTTTGTGTAAGGTTGTTTAGCGTGTGGATCACAGTTGATGCTAAATGAATCAGCTGACAATATCGTCGATCAAAAAGTAGTTAAATAAATGTGTGTTGTTGGGTTTGTTCCGGCCGCGTCTGCTGTGTCCGTTCACTCCAAGAGCGTGGTGGTGCTCTCGCCACATCAAGACCCTACACTGGCTGCCCAATGTTGGGCTCTTGGAGCATCGAACGACAGCTTTCGCAGTTCGGTACAATCTTTTGTCAAAGCCGGCATAGAGTAGGCCTAGGGGGTTTTCTTTGCTAGCGTCGGCGGTGTGCTTTGTTGAGAGCGAGGAGATCAGTTGTTGTGGTGTGTTTAAACCTGTCAGCACATTGAGTTTTTTTTTTTCTGCTCGCAAGTGGTTTTGTTGTTGTCGTCGTCGGTTTTCAAGAACATTGTTTAGTTGGGACGAGAGCCGTACAGTCTGCATCCTGAGGTAAGCAAAGCTTAGAGCACGTGGATTGTATGCCAGGCCTGAAGCGAGTGAGTACAGGAGCCTC